GATAAGTTCTGAATCACTGTATACATATATTCAGTTCAGGTATTGACTTTTACATTTCCCTTAAACTGATAAGATAAGAAAAATAACGTCATATAAAAAGACCATCAAACTTGGCATATTTGTTTAATTTTTACTATTTTAGACGTTTTTTTCGATTTTTCATTTAAAACAAAAAATCTGTTAGACACTTTGTGCATCACAATATTCTGTGGTCTTTCAAATATTATAATTAATAAGGTTATAAACCAGCATTCATTTTTTTGGTGAGTTCAGTGCATCTATGTGGTACGAAACAAAATAGCTTGTCCGCAAGTCTGTCAGACTAATACTTCTTAATTGTATTTCAAATATTTCTTTTTATTTGTGACCATTCCATTACGTTCCATTTTATGTATTTCCTGTATTTTATCAAAAAATAATGCAACAATGTTGAGGACGACAATATAATTGCCCAACAGATTCTTGATTTAGTGAAGAAACCTAACTACTTACAGCAAACGGTTGAATAAAATGGCTGGACAAAAAAAAGCATGATATGGACTTCGTTAAGTGACTCTGATCTTCCAGATTTCCCACAATTAGCATGGGAGGAGCTACGACATTTCTCTCTTGGGATATTTCGACTTAAGCAAAGCCGATTTTGCACTCACACACATCTTAGCCAAACAGGGATGTACTCTCTTTACATACATTGAGAAGATGTCTCAGTTGTCCGACTTCAGTTGAGATTACGACTAGGGTTGCCAGATCTCCGGGTTTGATCCAGAGTCTTCGGGTTTTGATGGTACATCTTCCGGCTCTGGGTTAACATGTCATTTCTCCGTGTTTTCTTTGTTGCGGAAAAATCGTGATTGATTTCTTCGAAAACATTTCCCACATTTCCTGATTCGTCCTTTGTTTTTACATCGGTTTCTTCGAAAACAATTTGTCTCCCAGATTTCCCGATTGCATTTGCATAACTTTTTTTTTTGTTTTTTTAGACATTAATTATACAAACAGGTCATGTCTCCGGGTCTGTCATGAAATAGATCTGGTAACCCTAATTATGACACACAAATACAAAATTATATAACATATAGATAAGTACAAGTCATAATCCAAACATTGAATGGTTTCGCCATTTGTTGGCGGAAGTTGGCGCCAGAGTTGTTGGCTGCTATGCGCATCTGTATTAGGGTATTTGAGATACTGGTGCCATAATCGAATTCAGACGGAAACACCCAGTCTTGGATATGCTGATACACTTCAAAACGCTGCTACTATATAGTCCAATGACGATTTACCAAGTGAAAGCGACAAAGAAATATAATCAAATACATTTGTTACAAATAGTTTAGTATACATATTTTTTTTATTTTTTCTACTTAATAAAATATATTAAAAAAAAAATTTATTTTGAGTGGGTATAAATATTAAGAAAAAATAAGAATTATGAATTGACCAGCGGGCAAAATAAGGCTGATCTTTACCCACCTCCTTAAATTAAAATAATATAATCTGTTACAAACTTGGATATACTGTTTTCCAAAAAAAAATTCAGTCATGATAGTTTGTCTCACAGGGACAGTGAGACAAACTATCATGTCCCTATATTTTTTAAATGTACAGTGAAAATTGGTTATAATGACATTGCTTTATATGACATATTGAATATAACAACGGAATTTGCAAGTCCCGATTAAATCCTATAGAAATACCATATTAAAAATATTGTTTATTACGACACCATTTACAACGACATTTCGGATTTAGCGACGCGTTTTATATACATTTACCATAGAATCTATCGGTTATAACGATCAATAGTGATATACGGCCTTAGAACCAATGCACTGCTCTTTCGCTCGCTCCGCTGGCATCCACGCTTTTCACACCAGTTAGTACGTTTGGGACAAATCACGCCTTATCTACGCATACAGTTATATGTATTAATTACCACTTTCTATCACGATTTCGAAGAGAAAATTGTTTAATAAAGAGACTAAAAAACAGATAAACTAATTCAAGCAAGTAAAATAATGTGCTATGTCACACTACGAATTGAACAATTTGGAAGGATAGAAATAAAATAAAATCTCTATTCGAAAACAATTAATTGAAAATAAAGCACGCATGATCTTTTGAATGCAAAGCAATACATGTACAGTCGACGCAAGATAAAGGTTTCCAACCTAAAAGGCATACTACTTTTAAGGGGGCGAGCCGGTGGACTATTAATAGGAATTTTGGGCGGCATCAATAATGTGTGTAACGACACAACAAAAATTTGCAGGCCTTTAGTATATGCATTATAAAAAGAGAAGAGCATACAGATTTTGAAATTATTTTGTCTTGCCACATTATTTTTCTAGTCCCTGAGAAAATTAATATTTTGAAATAAAAATTTGTCATATTCTGCAGAAAGTAGGTAAGTAGGTCATGAAGGCAACAAAATAAAAAAATATTGTACACTACAGTTTTATTATAACTTATACAGTTTTGGGAGGAAAAGGAAATATTTTAAGGACGTGTGAAGTGAAAATAAGTAAATAAGTTATGGGTCCGGAAATGTTTCCTTTCTGAGTTAGATGTTGAAGGAAATTTAAAATCCGGTTTTTTCTAAATATCTCGAAAACGATTTAAGATATTACACTGCCACTGTACTATACACCAAAGCTCAGTGTAATATCTTTAAATCGTTTCGAAATATTTAGAAAAACAGGATTTTTTTAAATTTTACATCTATCAGAATGGAAGCCGGGCCCATAATGTTATGAACTTATTTACTTATTTACTTATAGTGCGGTACTGAAGGCCTGTTAAATTTCCCTCAATCCTTCAAATTACTTCGGGTCCGGCATCTGATATCCATGCCCAAGTAGGCACAGAAAAGCGACCACTACGAGCTCTTTTGCAGACATATCTGGGATGAAATCGCTGATTTTTTGGGCGATAGACTTGAACTTTTCCAGAATCGGTGGATTGAAATATTTTTTTCGTTGAAAAATATGACGTTATTCTAAAACTGTTGCCCCTGTTGAATGTAATTTCTGGCAAATTGAAGTCTTCTTTCACGATGCTGGACTGTTAGAAGTTCTTTACTAGGAGCCGTATAATTAAAAAGTCCTTGTTCTTTTAATCTTGCTTTAGCTGTATTTTTACAACTGGGGAAGCCCGTTGCCTCTATTGCGTGGCGTATATCTGTAAATGGATTTTCTCGCATGTATGCTACCAACGCTCTGTCTTGATCTTCGGTAGTTTTTCTGTTGATTCCTGTTCCTGGTCGACGATCAACTGACAGCTCAATTTCCCATTTACGATGGAGTTTATTTATACATGTGTGACTCACATGAAGTTCTCTGGCAACACCTCTTGCTGACCAACCGTTTTCCAGCATTGCAATCGCCCGACTTCTGCGACGAGGGGAGAGTTGAGCCATTTTTTTTAACTATTTACACTTACTACTCTGTACACTACAGAATCACTAAATACAACTCAACTAATCGCTATTTAATCAATCACTATCCAAATTACTAATAAATCGCTCTGAAATCTCTAACTAAATCACGGTTTTCTGCTTACAAAATTGACACCTGTCACTTTAAATTTTAAAATAAAATATTGCCGCACGAGTCTAATGGGAACGCCGGTCCCTTGAAGGTCGTTATAACCGATTTTCACTAGTTATTTTTTTTATCATGTATAAAATGTGTAGAAAAATATAAAGTAGTAATCAAATATAAATTTTGTCTGATAGAGTCGTCCAAGCAGCATGATTGAACAGTCCGTTATAACTGAGTGGGAGGACCATTCGCATTCAGCACCAACTGCCCCCACCTCCCTACCTGTAGATTTAAGTACGAAAATTGAAGTGCAACCAAAAAATCCGAAGGCTTGGAGTCCTGTTCACTCCGTAGGTTCAATAGTCGGAACTGAATGTCACCCAGAAACAGACGAGAGTGTTTGGAGCGAATCCAGCAGAGACTCTTGCATTTTTGCAGAAGATGAAGAATTAGGGTGGGCCGAGTACGAAGCACCTTGGTCTTGGGTAAATTAGTTGATATTTTTTTTCTATTTGAGAATGGTTAAATATAAAAATAATTATTATTGAATTTTAAAGGTTGAAGCTGGTGCATGTACCGTCGATCCAAATCAGTCACCGAATTGGTTTGGAGAGACTGGCTGTGGAACTACAAATGAGGAGTTGGAACAGCCATGGCGAATAAGAATTTTAGAGGAACTGAAGGCACGGTTACCTGCTCAAGATGCCTACACAAATTACGAGCAAGCCGTTGACACCACGTCCTGGGTGCATACCGGTGAGGCTAGAGTAAGTCTTGGATCATCAGCATTTGTAGACTGCATTCTGCAATTGGAATGGGTACAGACGACCGGAACCTTAACAATCTTGAATCCAGATGGAGCAACGACTATGGTAAGTAAAAATAATTATGAAAAAGTGTATATATATTCTTACCAAATATCTACCATGTTTCAATAGCTTCCCAGAAGTAAAAGCGTGAAAATAGTAAAGGTTGAACTTGAACATATGTTAAAATGCTGCAAAAATGTCAACACAAATGTCTTTTAAACTTTTCAAGCTGAAAATTTATATCCAAAAATATACATGTTCAGAGCTACTGATTGTAAACATTAAAAAGATCTGGATGGGCCTAAGGGTTCTAATAACGGGTCCATCCCCACAGAATCTAGCCTGAAAACAACAAGGCTGAAAGATTCCTATACTCGGCGGCCGAAATTATAAAGAGTGACTAATACATAATATAAAAACACTATTATCATAATGCGTATAAAATATAAAATGATTCCTATACGGTTCAATATTATTTATCTTTGTGCCGCTCGCCATGCACATCGGTAGAATCTATAATCGTGTATAGACTGAGTTACACTGAACGTCGATCTATATTTTATCTCTGTCTTTTGCACTTGGTAGGGAATAGGGAAATGCTTTTTTAGTGGGTGTAAACGGACTTGATTTGCCCGACCTGAGAAACGTCATAGCATAAGCGTAGACGAGGGGTCTAATTCCATGGCTATAATAAATTTATAAATTAAAAAAACACAACTGGGACGTTTTAAAATGCTGTAATAATTAAAATTGATCAAAGTGCCGGTTATAGCAAACCGTAAAAAATATTAGATGTTATGTTTTATTATGTTTTTTCAATATTTTCTATATCTTGTTGCCTTTTACGCAGACACGCCAATGGATTTTCGTTTCCGGCACGCTTCATCCCCCTTACTAGTCCAAGAGCTAGCGATGAATCACTCTCTATAATTTTGGCTGTCGAGTATAGCTAAGGCTAACACGACGTCCTGGGTGAGCGGCGACAAACGGCCGGCGCGTTCGACGCAGTTGAAGTGGCCGACGCGGTGCTAACTGTAAATGCGATCAGACTGTCCTACATGCACTTTCAACCTGCGGTAGCGTGGCAATCATAATGGTGTTGCAGTTGTCAAAATGTCGTGGACGAGGAAACGCATCGATCTGTTAACTGAGAACATCCATTTAAACAGTATAATAATTCGTAAAAAACAAATAATAAAAAACGCATGACAAGCACAGTAGGTATTTTTAGAAAAATTTAATCGTTTGTATGAAAAATTACGAAATTGTCCTAAAGAACCAGAACTATTTCCAAGACATGCCAGAATGTTTTCCGAACATTCGACTACATTGTATGTTATGTATGATGAAAACACGCCGTTATTCTTTGCGAATACCACGAAGTTTTTAAAGTAGTTTTTATGATTCCCAGATAGCATAAGAACCACCGTTTATATGTGAAACCATATAGTATGTTTGCGGCTTTACCAATAAATACATATAGTATTGTTAGTAAGGTGCGAGTTTTACTTCCTGAAAACAGAACGTAATCAACCCAGAAATGAAATATTCCCAGACTAATTTTCAACGCCTATTTCTGTTAAGAGTGCAGGTCCATTCTCTGTGGAGTACCTATATGTCGATTATGATAATCTTTGTGCTTCATATCCCACAGTGTAATGGAATTTGTCATACTGCTAATTAAAAGTTCAATAAAAGTGTCAGACATGACGAAAAACTCATATCATTTTTAAGATTTAAAAATGTAAACTGAAGTGGCAGAGGCGGAATTATCAAATAATTCGATCGCGTCGTCCGCATGAAAACCGCACAAGCCGCTTGTGCCGGGCGATATCTCGTATGTAGGACAGAACCTATGATGCTCTAATTTTGAAAATCACTGCTTCGGCAGTTCCGGCCGCAACAGCCATTTGTCGCCGCTTATCCAGGACGGCATGTAAGGAAATGTATTGTAATTCTGTAACTGGTGGCGACCACAGCATAACAACTTGAAAACCATGGTGCTTTAAATGTTTTAGGGGTTTTTTACTTTTCGAGATACATTTATTTTTGACAAATACAGGGTGATTTATTAACAATGGGAAAGTCGAAAGCTGAAGATACTACACGTGAAATGGTGACCAGTGGCGCAAACATGCCTTATCCGAAAGTTGATAGTTTCGGAAATACAGGNTTGTGAGAAACCATCATTATCGAGTTACGATGTTCTTATTTGCGAACGTCGATATGTTAAAATGCTGCAAAAATGTCAACATTTTCTTTAAACTTTTCAAGCCGAAAATTTATATCCAAAAATATACATGTTCAGAGCTACTGATTGTAAACATTAAAAATATCAGGATGGGCCTAAGGGTTCTAATAACGGGTCCATCCCCACAGAATCTAGCCTGAAAACAACAAAGCTGAAAGATTCCTAGCTAAAGCTAAGGAAATTTTTATTCTTTTTTAAATGAAATATGTATTTATAAATTTGTACATGTCTATTTCAGGAAAATGTTTTGTTTGAAAGAAGGTAATAAGGTTTGTTTTATAATTAAAATGTCTCATCTTTGAAACTAATACAGTAAAGCTCGGTTACAACGTACACGCTTATTACGTACTTATGGTTATAACGTACCGAATAAGCAAGTCCCGGCATTATTATAGGGCCTTCAATGGTTAAATGTTTTGTTAAAACGTACTCCGTTATTACGTACTTCTGATATAAAGTACCAAAATATCTGGTCCCAACATCTAAAAATTTCATTATAACATACTTTTTATACATAAATTTATTTCGGCAAGTACGGCAAAAGCTCAGGGCATGTGTAGCTCGGCGGCGGTGATATATAAATCAAAGGCAGCCGCTTTGACCAGGCCGATATATAAGTTTTCGCCGACTAGCTACCCGATATTGTTTATTTATTTAAGATTTTTTCTCCCAACACATGTTGATATAATGCAGTTGTCTAGTTATTTTAACCATTCTTTATTCAGTTTCCTTGTTGACATCGTATAGTACGTATCTAAGAGTAAGCAAATTTTTGAATACTAAAATAATAAGTATGGATGATTCAATCCAAGCTGGTTCTAGTAAAATGGCTCGGAAGGCTTTAACAATAGATGAAATGATTTCTATAATTCAGGAAATAGAAAGAGGTGTTAAACAAGCTGACATCTGCAAATCTAGATGTATGAAAAAAACAACAGTGTCCACGATATTGAAAAACAAACATAAAATATTGGATTCCCGCGGAATTTCTAAACAAAGTAAAAGAATTCGCAAACCCGTCCAAAAAAACATCGATGAGGCATTACTTCAGTGGTTTACATATCAAAGAAGTTTGAATACTACAATAAGTGGGCCCATTCTGCAGGCAAAGGCCCAAGAGTTTACAAAGTTACGTAATGCTGATATTGCTAATGCTAATAATTCTCTTGTGATTCGGGTTGGTTACATAGGTTCAAAAAGCGGCATAATATAAGTTCCAGTAAAATCCATGGGGAAGCTGCAAGTGTGAACATGGAAAATGCGTTGGATTGGGTTAAATCAACATTAGTTCCACTACTTATCAACTGTGGCAAGAGTGATGTTTTTAATGCTGATGAACTTGGTATTTTTTATAAACTTGCTCCAGATCGTACAATGAGCTTTAAAGGTCAAAAATGTGTTGGAGGAAAACTTTCTAAGGAAAGAATAACGGTAACGTAAACTCTTGGAACAAACAATTGGTAAAAGAAAACAGGCGGATATTATTGCTAGTTGATAATTGTCCTGCTCATCCTCACGTTTCCAATTTGACCAATATTGAACTGGCATTTTTCCCACCAAATTTTACATCTGTCCTGCAACCAATGGATCAAGGTGTTATCCACAGTTTGAAAGTTCATTATCGACGACTGCTTATGACCAGTAATCTTAAGTGCATCGAAAATAGCACACCAATAACAATAAATTTGCTTGATGCTATTGAAATGGTTGCAAAAGCGTGGCAGCAGGTTGCCCAAAAAACAATTAAAAATTGTTTCAAACATGCATGGCCCTCTCTTTGCGAGTTCGACGAGGACGATGACTTACCTCTTAACCAATGGCTTATTCAACAAGTTGTTAATGAAGAGGATGACGATAACTTACCTTTAAGTGTATGGTTAAATAAAAATAATTTTAACTTAGAAAAATTAAATCCAACTGTGATTGACGCTTTCGTTGACGTGGATAAAGAGCTTGTTACAACAAATTTGCCTACAGAGCAGGATATTGTTGATCAGATTAACGAAGATGAGCAGGTTGATAGTGGAGAAGAAGATGAAGAAGAACCGGAAGAAGAAACGCCCGTAACGTTTGATGACGCAATTAGAGGAATAAAAAATGTAAAACGATTTTTAGAAAATAAAATTAATACTGAAGATCGTATTTTAAGCGCATCGCTGGAAATAGAAATGTATTTAGAGCAACAGATCATTATAAATCGAAAAAAACAAACTCATATAACAGACTTTTTTAGAAAGTAGTTTTAGGTATTTTATTATACATACATACCTATTTTGTGGTGCAAATAAAAACTGTACTTTTAGTTTTGCTTTTAAGTTTTAAGAACAAAATCCATATACATATACTGTTATTCTATTGCTGCTTTTGTTAAATATATGTATGTTTGTATTTTTGTTAAGAATCAATAAAACTTTTAATAATTTTTTTAAAACGTACTTCTGATATAACGTACNGAGCTATCATTTTTCCATTAATTATGTACTCTTGTTTCATTTCGATATCTCGATCCGTTTTCGAGAAAAATCGATTTAACGAACACTATGTTTTGATAAGAGAAATTAAAAGCGAAACAAACCAAGTGTTTTTTCGTGATATTACAACAATAAAACAAATAAAATACGTAATTATGATTTAAAGTAATTGTTCGAAGAATCCACTGTTGACACTGATACACTTTACATGTTTTCTGAGAGATCTTCGAGTTTGAAACAACATTTTCATCGAAATGTTGTTTTCTATTGCTTTTCGCTTGCAATGTACACAAAAATGGGGCAAAACGCCGTCGTGCGGCCCATTATCGAGAACCTAGTAGAGATATAAAGCAAATTTGGAGAAGTTGATAAGTACTCCGTTTTCAATTGGCCGAGGAAAAATTTTCCGCCTTCGAGAATTTACCACCCTTGCAAATTTGCTGCAAACGAAAATTTGCCGCCATAGGCTATAGCCTAGCTAGCCTATTTAGAAATCTGCCACTGTGTTTTTGTATTTTTTTAATGTAGAAAGAAAGCAAGAAGTAATAAATTATGTACTTAGGTTAGCATCACAGCTTTATAAGTAGTAAATTTGTATGTATAGTAAAAGCGGCACAATATTATGTCTTAATTCAAAGGAATCAAATTTTATTTTAAAATGACAAAAAAGGAACAACCTTGGCAAATAATTACCTGAATAAAAAATAATATGTAATATGTATATTATTTTTAAATCACATGACAAAAACTGTTACTTTTTGCACTAGTTACAACTTTTTGTTTAAATAAAAAGCAGTACATTGTTTGTGGTGAAATTTAATTCAAAGTATTAATTAATTATACTAATTTCCTTCATATTGAATTAAGCAAATACAGGGTGTCCCGAAATTCATGCAACAAAATTTGGTCAGAGATTCTTAAAACAAATTTAGGGGACCCATATTTTTTATTTTTGCCAACTGGCCCCCTTTTTCGGAGTTACAGCCCCCTGAAATTTGCCCCTAAGAAGTCTTTTTTATATCTCAAAACCATGTTGTATGAGAATCACTAAATTTGGTACACAGGGGTTTTATGACATGTGGAAAAACTTGGTCGCAAATTTCATTTTTTTTAAATTATTAATTAGCTAAAAAGCCATTGAATTTAGAAACTTTTTTGTCTCTTGATATTTATTTCGTAAAACGCAATATTTTTGAAGAAAATGATGAATCACAATATACATTCGATCACATTTTTACATTTTTCTCGAAAACATTGCGGTTTACTGTGTACCAAATTTAGTGATTTTCGTACAACAGAGTTCTGAGATATAAAAAAAATATTATTCTTAGGGTTGGACTTCAGAGGGCTGTAACTCCGAAAAAGGGAGCCACTTGGCAAAAATTAAAAATACAGGTCCCCTAAATTTGTATTAAGAATCTGTGACCAAATTTTGTTGCATGAATTTCGGGACACTCTAATTGTAAGAGGGGGTTACAACTTCAAAAAGTTTGAGAACCACAGATCTAAAATAATTGAGAATATCCAAAAATAAATAAAATCACCTTGTATATCAAAAAAATCTCCAGGCATAGAAATATTTTTTTATTCTTTTTTAAATGAAATATGTATTTATAAATTTGTATGTGTCTATTTTAGGAAAATGTTTTGTTTGAAAGAAGGTAATAAGGTTTGTTTTATAGTCAAAATGTCTCATCTTTGAAACTAATAGCTGCATATTTTAAATGTATTTAAAAAAATACCTCCTTAAATAATTGTAAAGTAGTAATATACAATCACATTTAGAAATTATTTGGTGAATTATAGAAAAAAATGTCAAAGTTAACAATAGGTTAATATTGGTGGCGGCCTTAGGGTGTGGCGAGCAGGGCAATTGCCCGGGGCCTTGCTCTTGCAGGGGCCTCGCACAACAACCCGTGTAAAAAAAAATTATATTTAAAACTTTATTTTATCCTTAGCTATTAGTTATAGAGGTATATGACAATAAAATAATGTTGGTTAATTCATAGTAAATATGTTAATAATTAATAAGAAGTAATGGATGCCTAAATAAAATTTCTCATTTAGGTTTGTTTAATGATTTTGATAATTTATCAGTGGATAATAATATTTTTTGTAATTTGACTGTAAAATATTTTTGAATCTCGTACCTTATTTTATCATTATTAAAAATTTGTCGTCTTTGTATTTGTTAACATTTAAAAATCTCAATATAAAATTTGAAAACTCAAAATTTATAACTTTTGCATTTCTCTTATATCATCAGAAATATCTACATTCGATTTACGTACATTTCACAAACAACAGGGGCCTCGCAAAGATGTACCTTCCGGAACCTCGCCATGGTTAAGGCCGCCGCTGTTGGTAGTTATACAATCGGTTAATACATAAGCTGTTTAATTAACATGAATTAACTAGTTAACTGCCAACAATATTATTTAATGATTTTTATATTTCAGTTATGTGTTTTTCATTAAAATTAGTTATTTAATAACTAACGAAGTTATTTATTTGTACAACTGGACAAATTCTCCACTACCTTGTCACTGTGCTTCCTATTTAATACCAAAAACTAAAAGTACAGTAGTTGTTAAAAAAAGTAATGTTTAATTTTAATGATTTTTGTAGTCTCGTGTTTCATTTCAATTTTTCAAATTTTTCAGCACCTGTTTAGTTTAAGTGATGTTACTTGTGTGCGATTATGTAGTGAACCAGGAAATCCAAGATTAGCAATCCATACTCCTAGAAATGTACCGTCAGTAATACGCCTACAATTTACCAGTGATGCCTTATTAGAGGAATGGCAAGCACATTTTGTCACAACTTGTGGAAAAATTCGTGATACATTAGGTAATATAATTTTATGAGAAAATATAAATCCAAATGAAACACATCTCCACATAAATAATAATCTGTTGAACAAGCTGCACAAGAATTTTTTATTGAAAAAGATGATTGATAATGTATTCATTTCAGGTAAATCAAGTGATGAAAGTGTATGGGCAGTAACAGGCCTAGGAGACATATTCGTGTGGGATCCGACAAAGTTGGAAGCAAACCAGCTTAGGGAGGATGAATTTTATGTCCAGAAATATGACCTTAGTGGCAAGGAGTCTCCTTTCCAACTCGCATTACATGTTGGTTGTAGTCCAGGTAGCATTATTACCTTAACAGGCTGTATTGGTGATGAAGCCGAAAGAATAGGCATTAATTTAGATGCCCCGAGTACTTATAAACTTCGACATAAAGCTCATACTGAGCTCCAAAATACCTGTTTACATCTAAATCCTAGATTCACTGAAAATTGTATTGTTAGAAATTCAATGATAGACGGTAAATGGGGTGATGAAGAGAGGGAAGGTGGCAATCCTTTTGTGAGAGGGCAAGAATTCAGTCTTAAAATAGAGACAACTGAAGATGCCTTTTTAATTTACATAAACGAGCAGAACTTTGCATCTTTTAGGCACCGTTTACCCCCTTATTCCATTTCTATGTTGAGCTTTTGGGGGAAAATGCAACCTTTTAAGGTAGTCATTAAAAGTCCTGTGATTATAATCGATATGCTCGATTTGTATTGGAGGCAACTTGGTGGACATTTACGTAGGGTGGAGAGTTGCAATGTTGGGGTAACGTGGGGTATTGGATACGATCATACCGCTTGGGTATATACCGGAGGTTGGGGTGGGGGATTTTTAGGAACTTTAGATAGTCAGAATGTTCACCCGATGACTGACTCACAAGATTATAGGGTGTACGAAAACCAACGTTGGAATCCGGTTACTGGATACACTTCTGCAGGTATGTAGGAGGCATAACCACAAAGTAAGAGTATAGAAATGGCAGTATATTTATGAAAAATTTACATATTCAGAAAGGTACATCAAATACTATTTTTCGACATAGTTCCCTTCAATCTCAATGCACTTTGTGAGACGAGAGGTGAACTTTCTTCATCAAAGAAATCTTCCGTTGCCTCTCGGGCCCATTTTTTTCATGGCACTGTGGACCTCATCAACGGTAGAAAACCTTTTTCCACTCAGAAACACCTTTAGAGAAAAGAGAAAAGTAGTGTTTTACAGCACCGCACCACATTAATTGTTTCCTCTTTATGGTTCCAAAACATAGTTGCCATCATTTTTCGGGCCCAAACACGGTTTTAGATTTTTTCGCTGACGGTAGAGTGGATGTTGCCACTGCATTGATTATGTTTTTGTCTCAGAGGTGTAGTGAGCCGCCCACGTTTCGTCCCCAGTCAAGGAATTGTTTACCTTCCAGTTCGAAGCTCTCAAAAAATTTCCATGAAGATGTGATTCTGTTGGCTTTGTGTTGATCCGTGAGTTGTTTTTGTACTCACCTCACACACAGTTTTCCATAACCAAGTATTTCAGTAATGGTTTCATGCAGAAGAGATCTGCAGATTTGTGGAAACATTGCGTTCATTTCGTTCAAAGTCAATCAACGATGGCCACGAAGCATTTCTTCAATCTTGTTTACCATCTCATCAGTCACGATTGAGGGATGTCCATTCATCATGAACTTTCTTTCTGCCAGCTTGTACACATTAGTATTATTCATTACACCATCCCCATTAAACAGTTTTGATTTTGTTAAAAATCTGGAACAGCGCCTTTCTCTTTGCAAGAAGAAACCACATGGTGGTGGGCTACGAGGTGAGGAGCGAAAAATCGCTCCTCACCTCGTAGCTGGGGGATTCAGAATATCGTCACTTTATTTCAACACACCACTACAACAACAGTTCTCAACTGACTGAGACAAATGAGTGTGTTCTGTTCTCAACACCTTGGCCTTGAATGCAGTGTTGCCAACTTTGTCGAAAACAATAACCTTAGAGCATCAGAGTCTCAGTAATTTTACTTTGTGCATATGCCTCGTAAGATTATGCTAACTTTACATTGAAAAGAAATATAATATAGAGAGGAAATAAAATGCCAAAATTAATTGGGCTCTATCCTCATTTAAGAATATTTAGTATTGGGTGTAACAGTGGTGTTGCGACACTCTTTTGGCTCAAATTTTTCTATCAAAAGAAACAAAAGAGTAACAATTTTTTCTAAAACAATGTGATCCTTCAAAGATTAGATGTGAAACAAAGTTTTCAGTTATCCATGAGTAATATAGGATAAAAACTTCACTTGTATGCGTCATAGTAGTTACCTACATGTAAAATTTGATCGAAAGCTAGGCAAATTCAGTTTGGACGAGGAGTTTCAACAGAAAAAAAAGAAAATTTCTTGCATCATACACATTCTGCTTGTACAGGTTTGGCTACACTATTCCAAATAAAACTTTTTAATTTTTAAAATGAAATTTGTGATTTTGCAAAATAAAGATTAGGTGGCTCTGAAATGTGGAAGAGGATGCAGAATTAATTTAATATTCCTTATAATGCTTTAGTTAACTAATATGCTATTAGTAATTATTTACGTTTATTTTAATTACATAACTACGACACAGAGTACCCAATTGGGGGCTCTGGACAACTTTTCTCTGCAGATTAATGTTATATCTATTTATAGGCCACCAAAAGAGTAGAGTAACTCCTCTCCTCCTCTCTAACTCCTCTGTATCCCCTAAATATCTTATACATAGGGGTCACACAGTTCACTGAGAATGTGATACTAAATCCATTTCTTTAACTGACCAATGGAAGCTAGCCTCCCTTGCCTTTCATAAGCGTTCAGATCAGAATTGGATCCTGCTTAGATATAAACGGTGCAGAGTATACTGTTGATCATTTGGTTGTGGGTAAATAATAACAAATAATATTAAAACAAATTAGGCTTTTTTTTGTAGTTAAATATTATTCTCTGTTATTTTTTGATACATAATGTATAATGTACTATATTTTAATATTTAAGAAGCAGAACTGGAGACGTTAACAAAACTTCGATTTTTTTATAGAAATATAATTTTTAACCTGGTGGAAACGAGAAACTTTTGAGGACATTGTTTCTAAAATTTTAATGTCTGTCAAGCAAGCCTTTTAATTATTTATTTATATGGGGATACGTAGGCTGCTGGAAAAGTTTCTGCAAACGATATCGAGGGTTTCCTGCCAGAAGAGCGTATCAACCAAAACATTATTTTTCAGGAACTATTAAAAACGTTTCAAAAATCAGTAGTAAAATTTAAGAGTTTGTTTATTACCTTACATAACTGTTGATTAGTATATTTATCGCATATTATTATCTGCTTAGCGAATTATTTGAGAATAACAGGTACAAACTTGACTAGGTACTTTAACTTGTAAGTGAAGAGTAACCGTATGTAAACACAACAGAAAAATCGAGGTTATGAACGCCAACTAACGCATACTCGTGAATGCCATGAAATTTTGTCATGCCAGAAAGCCATATGTTCATACGACCTAGAAAATATATGTACAGTTTCATTACAAAGGGACGTATGTACATACAACCTTCTGCCAGGTTAATTGAGGTAATAATTGTTCATACGACCAAGAAAAGGATTGCATGGCGCTGTTATTATTGGTGTGGTAGATCCAACCTTTTGTCGCGACAAACTTATGGTATTGGGTATCAAAGTTAGCTCATAAACCCAAAATGGCAATTTTTGTGGATACGTCCTTTTGGCAGGAAACCCTCGATATGTAAAAACACAAGTAAATTTTAAAAAATGGCTTTATTCTTTTTCAAAGTATTCGCCTTTGGGATCGATACACTTTTGCATACTTTGGAACCAATTGGTGGGGCATGCTTTCCACTCTGCGACTGTAACCTCTGAAACCGATATTCGGAAAGCTTACTTTTGTTGTTTCCAACTCATTTTGAATCACCCAAACAGTGGATTGTTGTTTGCTTTCGGACTTGTACGAATAAACCCAAGTTTCTTCGCCAGTAACGATATTGTGGACCGGATTTGACCGGCCTCGGTTGAATTTCTTGAGCATTGCTTTTGCACCATTTAACACGAGTCTCTTTTTGAGCGTCGGTCAAATTGTGTGGTATCCAACGACTGTACAGTTTTTGTACGTTCAAAATCGTGTGTATTGCTTTAATGTCAATGCCCAAGGATGCCTGAGTCTCGCGGTATGTCATATGCCGATTCCGCTCAATCATTCCACGCACCGCATCAACATCAGTGACAACAAAATATGTGGATGGACGACCTTCATGAAATTTGTCACTAAGATATGTGCGTCCTCGCTGGAATTCGCCAAACCAATCATACACTGTCTTATCGGATGGTGCTTCATCCCCAAAAGCCAAATGCAGTCGATTGATGCATTGTTTTAGAGTAAGACTACATCTGTAATCGTAGTAAGTCATTGCCCGGAAATTTTCATGTAAAAGTTCCATTTTTTTACACTAAGCAGTTTTTTTAAAATACTGTGTGTACTTTTGCTGAGTACAAACTGTCAATTGATTTATAGGTTAGAAATGTCTAATTTCTCAAATATCACACCGACAGAACATTGGCATCATTGGTGGTGGGTTGCAGAAACTTTTCCAGCAGTCTACGTATACCAGTTTTTATTCACCAGTTTTATCAAAAAAATGATTCCATTGATATCGTGTTTGCCATGTATTACCCTAAAAGAAACCGTAAAAATTGGGCAATTAAAAATAAAGACCGCCACAGCTGATTATTTTTCTCAATAAATATTGCCTTATTAATTTTCCAATTTGTGGGTTACCTTTTTTTCAGGATTACCCACAGATCGATACATGTGGAGCGATGCATCCGGCAAGCAAAAGAGAACGAGAGATCAAGTGAAACTGCTTTCCGTTCGGTGGCAGTGGGTTTCGGATTGGATGACTGATTTTCATGTACCAGGAGGTGTCGATCGCAAGGGCTGGCAGTACGCTGTAGATTTTCCAGCAACTTACCATGCTAACAAGCAATTTACTGATTACGTTAGAAGAAGGAGGTGGTACAGGAGATGTGCCGTTGCTACCACTGGACCCTGGCAGGAATTGGGCCATACCAAGTTACTAGATGTCTCATTAGAGCCTGTTAACGACTATGTCGATTCGGTTGTGTCTGTATGGGCGCTTGCTTCTGGCGGACAAGCTATGGTGCGCATTGGTGTCTCAAAATCAAACCCACTGGTGAGAAAGATATTTTTTTTTGTGAACTGTTATTTATTATTACATCTTTCTTCTATTTTGTTTGTAACCTCATTCAATTGCAGGGGCACATATGGGAGCACGTAAATACTGATCAACCTCTAAGTAGTATTAGTTGTGGTCCTTTCAAACAGGTCTGGGCTACAGGCAAAAAAGGCTGTGCTTATTATCGATTAGGAATAACTCAACAAAAATTAGAGGGAGAGAAATGGGTGACTGTTGAGCCTCCGAACGGAGAACAACTTAAACAAATTTCAGTGAATACTAGCGGAGTGTGGGCTGTTGATTTCAAAGGGCAGCTGCATGTGAGAAAGGAAATTACATCTGTCTTTCCAGAAGGAACGCACTGGCAGATGATTGCTGCCGACCCACCTATTTTAAGTAAGTGAGAAATAAATTTATTTGCACATCTGTTAAAGATGTCTTGTTTTAGATTCGGCTCCAGATACTACGGGGTTTAGACATGTCAGTGTCGGAAAAAGTCAGGTTTGGGCTACAACAAACGGTGGAGCAATGGTGAGGAGAGAAGGCATATGTCCTGCTAATCCTGCAGGGTCAGGTTGGGATATAGGAATTGCGGTAAGTTTTATTTTTTGTTTTTCATGCTTAATTAACATAATTATAAAAAAAAAATCTTAACTATAATTAAGGTTAACTATGTACAGGGTATTTATGAACATGGAGATTCATTTTTAGTAGGAGATAGGACTTGATAAGAAAGCCAATTGCTTAAAATTTACTTATTTTTTAATGATACACCTAGTGGTGTAAGTGATGTAAGGAATATTCACAAAGGGTTTATTCTTTGCTATAATAATTATTTTTTGTGTAAACCTCTGCAGTGAATTAATTATTAGCAAGTTATCAACAATTCCAAGACCACTCTTACAAATAAGAATAAAAATTCTCAAATGAAAGTAACCTGTAACGGAATTTTTATTTGTGCAATATGCATTAGTAGTCTCCTAAAAATCTCCATGCTGCGCCTCCTTTTAATTTCCAACATCACTGCTCCATTAATGTTTTGACTGGCATTGTGAATATTTTTTTTATTTAGACCTTTTGATTTGTGAAACTGCCTAACCAAATTATTTTTGTAATAAGTTATTTACCAGTTCTTTTTGACAGAGAATATAATAATTCATAATGAGGTTCATCTCATTGCTCTCATACTTTACGGGACATATTTACAATAATTTATGAATTCGTCTTGGTACTATTTCTTTGCAAGTATTAAATAAACACCTTCAGAATTTACACGAAATGTTTTTTTGTTATAGGGAAACTGGCAGCACGTTAGTGTCAGAGCTTTTAGCTAAGCTTCTTTTAAACTCAGGATGTAAAGTATTGTTTTTTGCTGGCTAGCCGATTATGTATGTAAGAACTATTTTAATATGTTTAGTTTCAGGAGAGACATAACGAATTAAGTTTTTGAATACCAAAGAATTGTATCAGTTATTAATAATACGTTAATTATATACTGGCATCCAGTATTTAAAAAATATATTTTATACATTTTATCCCTTTAATTACAATTGATGGTTTGTTATTTTAAAATAGTATTTTCACTATTTGTTGCATGACTGTATCTCAGCATATGTAAACCAGTAAGTTCACTTGGTTGTCTCTTGATTATTTTCAGCAGTTTTTGGGTAAGTGGGGATCAGAACCATAATAAGAATTTTTTGTTCATGTGGGAAAGCTCTATTAAAGTAGGTAATGGTAGTGACAAATAATTAATTTAAAAATAGTAAAATTTAAAGAATCTATTTTAGTTTTAATATTAATACTTTGTGATATTTTTCTATAATCACCTTAGTTTGTTTGCTTTTTAGTAGAAGCCTGTGATTACTAATGTTAAATAACATCAATGAAATTCTCATATAAGGGGTTCTAAATATTTCTAACAATTAATATAATTATATTTTGCCTTAAGAGTCTGTTCTCTGTACACTGCTAAGGTATCGCTGCGGGGTCGGGTGCACGGGCGTTACAGCTGGAGGCGGAGACTATCGCTCTCCCNTTGCAGCATTTAAAATATATTCGTTTCTGAAGTTGTAGACGTTCGGGATTTAGCATAGAATTTTGAGTAATTTTTATCAAATCAATATAATTTTGGTATCATTGCAAAGCTAAAAGATAGACCCACTTCCCTCTTGTAAGCAATTTTTGATTTAAGCCTCTATTTTTACGTAAATAAATTATAAATATGACGATTTCTTGCATAGTAGTTAGAATAGTAGGTAGGTAGGTTAGGTAGTAGGTAGTAGGTAGAATAGTAGTTAGAGTAGTAGTAGTTAGAAACCAATTTTGAAAAAACTGTTACAAGACAGCAGTAGGAAAACACTTTGTCTTTCGATTGTTTTTTTATTTGGGCCGCTATGTTTATTCGTTTTCCAAATATGTGTTATGGGCCGAACCCTTAAAATGGGTTTATTTCAAGCGCGTGACGGACTCTTAAGGTAGTTATATCTCAAGTATGGAATTCAAGTAGAAAACTTTCGTGCAAGTCTCATATTTGAGTTATGTAGTTTGTAGTATAGTTGTAGTTGTAGTAGTTAACTACTATGTAAGTTAGGTTAGAGTTAAATATAGTGGATGCATTACAATCGTTTGGTGTTTTTCAAAAATTTTGCAGGAATCATCCTTATTTGATTTGTTTTATTAGTTCCTTTAAACAAAAAAAGCCAACTGAAACGAAAAAGGTTTTAGTTCAAAATTTTGTAGAATATCAGCATGCGAGCAAACTCACCTTTCTTCTATACAAATTAGTCTTGCCTAAAATTTGAGCAGTTTCTCGAATGGGCTTATTTAGCTACAGCAAGTGTTCATCGTAAAAACAACATTTTTCGAGGCGGTGCCATTAAGACTATGCTATACATAGTCAACTCTGATTCTCAACTTCAAACTCAAACAATTAATTAACATCCTTTAAATTAAATGTTCAAAATGTGCTTCGGATCTTCTCTTTTAATGTTTCCAAATTATCTGGTTTCTCAGCATACACTTTTGATTTTAATTAACCCCACAAAAAATAATCAAATGGGGTTAGGTCTGGCGACCGTGCAGGCCATTCGATGGGTCCTCTTCTTCCTATTCATCGATTGGGAAACGTTTCATTTAAAAATGTAGGCACAGGGGCAGCATAATGCGAGGGAGTACCATTTTGTTGGAAACCCAGATCTTCATCAGGGGAGTCTGGTTCCAATAGATTGGGAAATAAAATCACCAATACGGAAAGCCTATTACTCTTTCTCTTACTATTCCACACCACACATTTAATTTTTCAGTGTGCTGACTATGCGCCTCTATCATCCAGTGCAGGTTCTCTGTTGCCCAGTACTGACAATTTTCTCTATTAACAATTCCATGTAGAGAAAATGTAGCTTAATCGGAAAAAATAATGTTCTTTACTAAATTAATATTTCGATTACACAAATTTTGCATGTGTTCACAAAACTCGCTTCGTCTATCGAAATCGTTTTTAGATAACTCTTGTACTGGAATAACCTTGTATGGATGATATTTGTGCCTTTGAAGTATTCGATGAACAGCAGATTTCTACAAGTGTAAATTAGCAACAATGTGTGGCAAGGAAATATGTGGATTTTCTTTCACGGAAAGTAAAACTTCTAGTTGGTCATTTTCTTCTCTAGCAGGATGACCAGACTTAGGCAAGTCTCTAGCATGACCAAATCCTCTAAATTTTGCTTCAGTTCTACTGACTACCATTTGAGAAATGGGAGGACTATTAGGATGAATTTCATTAAATAACTGAGCTGCTTCTGCTTGAGTGCTCGTTCTATCACCGAACCCAATCATGCAGTATTTCAATTTTTTCTCGTTCAGTTAACTTTGCCATTTTTAAAAGCCTTTCAATAGTTTAAAGGTGTAAAGCCTATTAAGGAAAGGATAAGAATTAGAAAGACAAACAGAAAAAAATTACACAAAAAAATTGAATTTATGAAAAAAATTTCAAAACGTGGAAATACAGTTTATCGATCGCCTTGGATCAATCAAGCAGAGAATGGAGCACATTTTGAACATTTAATTTAAAGGATATTAATTGTTTGAATTTAGTTATTTATTTATCATTCTCAATAAATTTCTTATGTAACCCAATAATGTTTTTAGTATTTTTATACTCAAAAAATCATCCTCTTTCAGAATCTGAAGAGAAAAGTTGAGGTTGCCAACCTCTTCAATAATATCAAAAAAGACCTGAAAACCATATCAAAACATGGTATTTAATTAAAATTTCTCAACGTGTCTGCGATTTTGTGAAAAATAAATTCCTTAAGGGCCGGGCCCCATATTATTTAAATAGTGTTTTCCACAAAGACGAATAATTTCAAACATTTAATAACTGAATAATCTAAAGCTTATCAAATAATAGGAATGTTATGCCATCTGGTTATTTTCAAAGAGGCCGCAGTAAAACAAATAAATAGGTGCAAAAAACGATCAAACGATCAAGGTTTTAGGTACTGAAATCTACAAAAATACTAACTTTTTTATATATAACTATACATGTAAATATTCTTATAACATTTACTTGCTTGTCCTACATATAAAATTGTTTACTTTTATTTATAAGTATGTGAAAATAATTAAATAAAATTTGGGGTTAGGATAACAGCAAACGCATGTTTTACAAACGCTTTTTTCTTAGTTATTATTTTATTTGAGTAAATTTAAATAGTAACAATGAATAAACAGAACACCAAGGATTTTATTTTTGTGCTTACTTTTGTTGTACACGTTTTAGTTTTCAAGATTTCAGTACCTAAAAACGCCAGAAATTTGACTATTTCTCGGCCAGGGATATGGCCACCTTAAGTTTTATTGAATTTATACATTACATTTGGGATGCACTGTATAAGCTTTCATTATTTTATATTTTTTTCAGTAAACTATTTACTAAGTTAAAAAAGTATCATTTTTTGCCGTTATTTTGATGAAACATTTTCACATTATACATAAAACTAATTTATGACTTGGAACGACTAAAAGCAATAGGATAACCTATACATTTCGAAGGCGAACTAATTGTACACGAAATATGGTCAGAAATGCTCTTATCGCTATTGTGCAATGTATTGTGTTAATATCACTGTTATAATATACCTACCTTTTTTATATATAATTTTATAAATTATGTGCTTACAGTAGAACCCCGATTATCCGTGATCTGCGGGAATGATATATTTTAATATCTTGCTCATATTAAATAAAACTACAAAATAATTTAAATATATTTATTGTCCTTTAAGTAACGTTAGTTTATTTAATATTTGTCTCTTAGTAGATTTCACTGAATTAAATATTTTAACTTCATGATTTCTCACATCGGTATACTTTTCACATACAGTCCTGACAAGTTCTTATGCATATTTTTAAATATTTTCACATTCGAAAAGTTTTTTAATACATGATGCACAATTTTATTTTTCTGTAGTTTGGGTGTACTGTTTTTATAGTTATTAAAGAAAAAATTATATTTTCTGTTTCTTGAATTGTCATTTTTCTTTTTTAAAAAATGTTTATTTTCTGCGGGTTATCTTTTTTTTTGTTTTTTGGAAATGAAAGACAGCCGCCTAACTTCATATTTTAGTTTCTTGTTTCTTGGAGAATCATCACTAAAATGTTTATATAATCCTCTTTATACTTTTCATTATCCATGATATCCAAAGTTGACATGGAAGATGTACTACTTAGGTCAAAATATGATGACTGTGACGTGGTAGGTTGGTTGATAGGAGACATAAAAGAATCTGAAGATTGGGACTTCATGTTCATAAAAAAAACATTAGTGAAGATAATTTTATAAAATTATGTGGTGAGCATTAAAATGTTTACTAAGTATTGGGAGAGTCCTACATGCAAAAAAAATCATTCAAATCACACAGTCCAGGCAAATGTTACAGGAGTGTTCTAAGTCAAACTTGAATACATTGTGCATATACATATAATAGTATATTGTGCAATAAGTGTGTGGTAAGTTGTCTATTGCCCACGAGAGCGGAGTTGATTGCACATAGTATTTAGTTTATGTTGACATAAATAACTGTCATTTAAATGTCACTTTTTTAAAATAATGTTTTCGAGTGTTTAGGTATAATTTTGCGTGTTTTATTGGCAATTCGCTTGCGACAAGTAAGATTACCGCACGCAAATAAATAGAGTGGGCAAACAGCTAGTTGCCAACCTAAAAAACATGCGAAAAAATATGACATCCGTCATGAGTAATAAAAAGTATAGTTACTTATTATTTTTGGTAGATTTAATGTGGGAACTGCATTTTTTGCTAATTTGCGGACTACATTTTTATTGAAAACTAAAAAATTTTCTTCAAAGTGATTAGATCATATACGTGAACATTTTGATGGTATTCAATCGTATTCTTTAAAAGCCTTCACCTATCTTTACTTTATATTAACATCCTTTGGAAATCTGTAAAAATTAAAATATTGGATTCGAAAAATCGAAGCAAATACTTATAAAAATTTGGTCATTATATATTTTACCATAAAACTCTGACTTTTCTAATCAAATTTTGCCAACCCCCCTTTTTCCAGGGTGCTGAACATGAATTTGAAATTAGTTTTTTGCAATTTTTTCGATCACAAAAAATAATATCACATTAATTTTCAGCTCAAAATTATGGGAATTGGAAAAATTTCATATAAACTGGACACTTTTACGTAAAGTAAATAATTACTAAAAATATGTTGCAATCATTTATTCATTATTTTATTAACAATTTATAATGATATCACGTTTACCATTGCAATATGTGGGTGAACAAAATTATAAAGTCAACTCTAGAATACTCTGATCTCAACCAAGAAATGGCATATATAATGGCTCAAATTTACGTTTTGTATGTTGCTTATTTTACTTACCTAGAGAAGGAAACTTTTTGGCTCTCTTCACCAACTTGATCACTTCCGTACTGCCTTCATTATAATCGCCCTATAGTTCGGTCTAACTGGTCTATGGTCTTTACTGAACAAAAACACAAAATAGTGCATCCCCGCAAATTCCTAGACATAGCACGCATAGCACGATAATGGGCACCCCCGATAATGGGCACCCCCAATAATCCACACACGGATAATCAGGGTTCTAATGTATTTGTTTTTTTAGAAAATCGTAAAAACAGATTTTTCACCTTTTTCACTTATTCGAAGTTATATTGAAATACAATTTCCAAAATTGTACAATTTTTAAATACGTCTGGTTATTATACACAGCTAGAAAGAAATAGAATGTGTCTGCAGACTGAAAGTTGTGCAGCCTACTATGTGCGACTTACGATTTTGGCTCATCTGAATTAGCTGGTTTATATATGTTGTGAACTGGCATAAATATCTTTATAGAGGACAAGTATTATCTAATTTAAGACACTTGGCCAGTAAATGTTAAAAAGTGACTGAAATTCAAACTGTATCTGTAAAAATATAAACTGATCTGCAATACCAACTAAGTCACTATATTTATTGTAGAAATAATATTGCAAATGTTCTTTTCATTTTGTTATGATCCATCTAGCAATTTTTTATTTGTCAAAAAGTTGGTACGCCCTTATTAAAAATATTTTTTGTAAGAAATAACCCCTGGACTAAAAGACTAGAACAATTCCATTAAAAGTTGGCTGTATCCATTTTTGGTATTTTTTTTTCCTGGATTAAAAGACTTGATAAAATATTTAGGTGTTCCTGGTATTAACTATTTATTATAAACATGTACTGTAAAAAATAAAAATCCTTTTAACTAATAAATTATATATTTTGTTTTAATATAAACATTCCATATAAACCCAACACATATAAACAATAAACTGTTAACTGTTACAAAAAAAAACTTATTTGTACACCTACGGGATACAAAAGTATATGAGGTAAAATAAATAAGAAATATTCAAATGGAGTAAAAAAAAAACAATGCATTCAAAGAAGTGCGATAAACTGTACACAACGGTGATATTGTACTGTATTAATTATACACTGGTATAGTTATGAGGCTTGGTTAAGACTAGTTAAATTGCTTTTTACGGATACACACCTTCAGTTCTGAAAAAAAAGAACATGTTTAGAATATATTTAATTTTGTAGAAAGTGATTCAAACAATATATAAATTTCAAATATAATTTTTAAATAAGACTACATTTAGCTCATAAATTCTCTTAAGAATACAATATAGGTCAGACATTTTTTTATCTGTTAATGTGGGAAAAGATAAAAAAACGGGAAGATTACAACATTCCATTTTTTAATTTATCCAGGGCTGTTTAAATATTTAATTGAATATTTAATCAATATAGTCCTGTAAAAAGTTCAGCCATATTATTGAAATGCAGCCCAAAGCTCTCCTTAATTTAATATGACATTTCATCTTATGTTTTTAAACTGATTTTATTGCAGTGAAATGTGTGGCGCTATCTATGTGTGGTCAACTGAACTACGTAGTAGGAAGCCTTCCCAATTACCAAACAAAATTTTGATCGCTATGGAAATGTACATTGAACAGCGGCCATACATCAATCAAGTTCTGTTTTAAAGCTGGTAAAATAGCCAAGGAAACGTATCAACTATTGCAAGCGATTACATTGCTGTTTCCGTGACAATTATCAAAAACAAGCTTCACAGAAAACGTTATATCTTTGTGGTAGGTACGTATACTAATGAAATTTTGTTCGGTTGCTCGGAAGGCTTTTCACTACGTAGTCTGTTGACGCACAGAGCCATGCACTTCACCAAAATCAAGTCAGTCTTAAAACTTAATAGACAGACTGTGTACGACATGGTTCGTACTTGGATGGGTAATTATCCAACGAAGGTTAGTGATGCTCGTCCACCTTCTAATGATCTGTACGTTAATCTTTGAAAATTTGGGTAAGATTTGTACAGAAAGATGTATCATCTTTCAGAAAGGATGTAAAATCGTTGGTCCTTTATCTAACCAATGTTAGGCAAGTAAAAGGTCCCTACCCTATTACAAAAGTGGATTTGGTAAAACTTCCAGGTTGAGGATTACTCATTTCCTGGCATCGGTGTTTAGTCATAGTAGCAGAAATAGGCTGACATAAAATAAGGAAAAACAAACTATCTGTTGGCTCACTGATGGGGTGACCATAACTGTTAGCGATTTCTGCACCGATTTTGTAAGTAGATGTCAATAGAATCTATTTCTCTTGGTCTTTTTCAATTAATGGTGTATCAGAAATTAACTTTCAGATATCAACATTTTTATCAGTATGAAGCATATATTTTTTTCTACTAACCATATTAGGTAATCATTTTTAGGAGCATACGACAAACAATACAATATTTTTGATTCATACCTTTTTTTTTCTAAAAATAATTCAATTAAAAATTGAACGTCAAACATCAAATTAGTAAATGCCTTTATTTCCAAACAATATTCAATAATAATAGACAAAACGGGAAATCGCAAGAGGAATTTCACAACTTGAATGCTACAGAGCCTTTATAAATACATATAAGCTACATGACTGCCGAGCTTAGACAACCAACATTTTACTAAAAATTTCTAAATCTTAGTCACCAATATTCATGATTCGTTTACAATGAGCAATGACAAACTGTTGATTGGTTTCATAAAATCTTGTGAAAAATTACACCAATCACCGGCTGGTGAAACAGAATGTTGTGTTTTAATGTAATCTATTGTTTTAATTTTACCGATATTTATTTAATTGCCAACATGAAGGAAATAAAATTACTGTTTCAAACAGGATTATTGGTCAGATGTTTGTAATCATTAAGGCTGTGTATCTCATAGTTTAAACTCGCAGAAGTAGATGAAGAGATGAAAAGAATAGACTAGAATATTCTAAAAATTACTACATATGGTCCTGGATTTGAAATTTTCATTTAATGTCACCCCACATTTTAACTTTTTTATGAAAAATGAGGTCATAACCTATTTTTACTTTGAGATGTCATTAAAAAAGAGAAAACACCTCATTCTACTCTATAAAAGTAAGCTTAAATAAAAGTAAGAAATAGTTAATGATCATCACTTGCTTTATCGTTTTATCCCATTACCTGCACGGATGAGAGCTGGGGGTTCCGTTCAAGCTGTAAAATATGCTGTTGGGCATGGGCCAGTTGCCTTGTGGCACTGCCAAGTTGTTCTTCGAGGGCAGCAGCCTCAAGGGACTTGACTGACAGCTTTTCGGATAAATCAAAAACATCATCCCTTTGCTGTCGCGCAAACTCCTGCTTAAACTTGGCTATTTCTCGTTGCACTTCTGCTACGTGCGCCTTTTTCATAGCATCAAGGGCAGCCAGAGTGGCTTGGGTTTCTTCAGCAAGAGCTTGCTCCTTCTCCTGTTTCAGAATTTCAACTTCTTGGGCATGGGCTTCCCGCAATTCGTGAATCGTACGACAGTGCCACTGCTCCATAGCAACCAACACTCTTTCGCACAATTGCTGCAACTGCTCTATATCGCTTTCCCTGTGTCGCTCTTTGCAGGAGGCTAGAGCACGTCTGTAAGCTGCTCTTAAATTTTCTACCTGAGTTAGGTACTCTGTTCCTAGATAGACGGGCCTTTGTTCATCTAAAGAAGGGTTCCTAAAAAGAAAAGTTAATTTATATATTTAACCTATTTTTGCCAATGAAGCGTATACACAACATCAAATAATAATTTTTTCTCTAAATAATTAATCACAGAATATCCTAAAATATCATATAACAACATTTCTTTAAAATGTATATTCAATGTATCTTGTTTATTTTTTTTATAGATACATTTTTGTTGCAATAGTAATTAAAAAGTAGAACTTTATCTGCATTACACAATAAAAATTAATCAATTTTGACAAGTATATTTCAATTAATTTTCATCTTTTCATATCAATTTTCGGTATTATAAAGGACAGATTAATAATTCATAATTGTCGATTTCAAATAAAATTTTTTGTTTAAAAATAGTTTTAAAATTTTTGGTGTACACCACTGGATATATATGTGAATTGAAATGAGTAGATGCAAGTTCAGACTATGCATTGTTTTCGCAAATTGCAGTGCTGCAATACTTCATAATATATTGTGTTAGTGGTATGCAGTGTAAGATGTCCAAGTATTTAACTTATAAAGAACTGGAGTATGTCTCAGAGATTCGTTCGTTTCAAGATTTCCCAAATCATTCAATATTTCTTATTTTACAAAAAAATTATAGATTTTCCATGGTGTAATTAATATGAAAGAACTATATTTTGGTCATTCCATGTCAAGTGATCAAATTAACAAGAAATATTTTTAGTCACCATCTTCAATCTTGCTGAAAGGTGAAGGTACAAACATGTGTCTGAGATGATGTTGTGTAAAATTTCACCTGCACAAGTAGTACAGCTAGCGTCCTAAGGCCCCAGCACAAAGGTCACCCAGTTTCGAGTGTTACTGTTGTGGAAACGTAGCAACTTAAAAAATGACAAACGAGGACAACTTTTTGTGCTTTGCATGATAGTTGCAGTGCAGTGCTATTTTCTCATAAAGTTGCTCAAATAATCAGAGCACAAAAAGTTGTCCTCGGTTGCCATTTTTTAGGATGCTATCTGCTATGGTTTTATAACAGCAGCATTTGAAACTTAGCGATTTATTAGCACATGCGGTTGCATTGCACAGGGGGGGCCTTTTTCGGGAGGCCCTGGTGACCCCTTTATACTACTAGTGAAACTTAGATTTTGCACAACATCCCTTGAATTCAACACTAACACCATACTTCATCAAGATCCAAGATTGATGGGTTTTATTTTGGTAACTTCATACAGCAACTCACTGAGAGGAGGAGAGGTGGTTGTAGTTATTTTTGGCTGTGAAAATCCATAAAATTATTGTATTTTCTTAGACAATTTTTCCCCTCGTGTAAGAATGATAATTCTGGTAATTATTATGATCGGCAACAATTTCACAGTTGAACATTTATTTCATACAGAGATAGTTTCAATTTCGCAGCCAAATATATTTGCACAATATAACCGATATATGAATAGCATGAACTTACATCATTATTACTAAATAATCCCATTGCATTACTTAGTAACTCCAGAATAAATGTGTGAAGAAATAAATGGTGGTGGTTATTATTTTGTCAAACTAATAGATTGTGAACGTCTGGAAAATATACAGATTGGTAAATGATTCTAAACTGTTGCAGTAAGATTTCGAATCGTTATAGTACATTGATGAAATTTGAAAATGTCAAAACTAACAATGTAGAATTGAACTTCACTGGAAGAATTTCCATTAGCCATATAATTAAAAAGAACACAAATGTTCCAGTTATACCAGAAGTCGATACCAACTTTCTTATTTTAAATGGAACCCCCAGTATATTATTGCATTTTTGGAAAGAGCATTAATTTTTAAGTTGAAAACATAGCACACTCAATACTTAGGATTGACCGTTTCCGAGAGACTTTGATTTATAGGCAAAAATTGACAGATGCAGACTATCAGCAAAATTTAGTTTTCCCGGAAACTTAGGTTTATTTTTTTGTGTGATTTGGACATTTTGTAGAGGAAGACCTAATTTATCAGATTTGACATGAAAATTTTCTAGTTTTTATACAAGGTGGTCAAAAATAAATGATCGAATATGAAGTTCAGAAAATGTGAAAAACTCGAAATTTTTAAATGGAAATCAACAATTTTTTTAATGTATTCCCATTCTGCATTAATATTGAGTGTAACTTTGTTAAAATTTCCATATACCTAAACCCAGTCGTTTTCATTTTATTTATGAATAAACATTTCCCGTTTTCTAAAATGGTGTTTCCATTTGTTTCGCACATTTTATATTGGTACGGTTTCAAGAAAATGAATCATTTTTGAATAATATTATTTAGACCGATGAGGCAAATTTCACCAAAAATGGACTTTTCAATAGACGTAATTCCCGTTATTGGAGTGACTTATGATGTGAAATTTTCAAGACAAATGGCAATTCAACGTTTATTGTGCTATAAGAAATGATAGCGTGGCAATTCATTTATATGAAGAAAACCTAAATTATACATTTTACAAAATTTTGAAAATAACTATTTAGAAAATTTACCCCTTGCTGATTACAGAAAAGTATTTTATCAACATGACGGTGCCCCTCCTCACAACAGTTACCAATTAGCAATTTTTTGCAACAACTATTTAATGACCAGTAGATTGCCAACAATGGACTGTTTTTATGGCCGCCTCGTTCACCAGACTTATCTGTGCTGGATTATTTTATTTGGGGGACTATAAAAAATAGTATGAATAGTACTCCAATAACAACAACAAAAAATTGTATGCATAGAGTAAGACTAGCATTTGAGCATCTATCACCGCATTCTATTAGAGCAGCGACCCACAGGAAACTAATCAGAAGGTGTGAAAAATGTTTAGAAATTGAAGGAAGACATTTTGAACATTTATTAAAATAAATTTGACAATTTGACCTATGTTTTGGAATGGTTTCCGCTTTTCTGGATATCGAGCAATGAACTTATCACAAATTCTTGAAATAACTTTCATCACATTGTTCATAAATAATGAAGACATTTAATAGTCTTCATGAGTATAATTTAATCTTTCTAGCATTTTTAAAGGTGAAGTGACAATTAAAAACCTGTGATAGTCGTCATGTTGGTCACTGTCCTGTCACTGCCAACCTAAAATGTACAAAACAAGTGGAAACACCATTTTAGAAAACGGGAAATCTTTATTCATAAATAAAATGAAAACGACTGGATTTGGGTATAGTGAAACTTGAACAAAGTTACACTCAATTTTAGTGCAGAATAAGAATACGTTAAAAAAATTGGGGGTTTCCATTTAAAAATTTCAAGTTTTTCATATTTTCTGAACTTCATATTCGATCCGATAAAAAATAAACCTGGGTTTCTGGGAAAACTAAATTTTGCTGACAGTCTGCATCTTTCAATTTTTGCCTATAAATCAAAATATCTCGGAAACGGTCAATCGTAAGTATGGAGTGTGTTATATGTTTGCAACTTAAAAATAAACGCTCTTTCCAAAAATGCAATAATATACAGGGGGTTCCATTTAAAATAAGAAAGTTGGTATCGACTTCCGGTATAACCGGAAGTACGAGGACTTTGAAAATATTTTAACTTGGTAAGCCCCACGGACCATATCACGCCACCACAATTTCCAAAAAATCCTTCGAGCGGTTTTCCAGATATCCAGCGATGGAGTTCGTGGTGGGACACCCCTGTATACATTTGTGCAGGTGCAGCATTTATTTCCATAAAGATTGCTTTGCAAGATACCACTANACTGTAGGTCATTATATTATTTTTCTGTGCAAATATTAAAATTATCTGACAATTCTTGTTCATTGCACATATTTTCCCTAATGCGGCTCTGGACGATAATAGGCTTACCAATGTCCTGAGAATATATAGTTACCGATTAAAGAAATCTTTACGTCGATTGCTATGTGGTATTATGAAGTTGTTCTAGTTTGGCATTACGCTAGTAGAGACCGCCACTTCCTGGATGGATTTTCTACTATCTATCAGGTGCTATCGCTGTCTTACCAAAAGTGCGATTTCTTGTCTATAAAACGGCGCCCTTAATTCACAAATAGTAACCTACCTTTTAAAAATTGGCCTTTCTAATCCATTCTTGATATCCTCTAAATTATTCCTCAAGATCATGCATTTTTGGCAGACGTCACTCCAACTCTTCACGACCACGTCATCTCGTGCCGCAGGTACATCGACGCATTTCTGCAATTCCGAAACTTTTGCAGCTACTTCATCTAGATAACTCAAGACCTCCTCGAGTTCCGGTTGACCCAACACAGCGAAACAATCACCACTATATTTATCTAACATACAATAAAACTCTGCTTCTAAACTTTGGTTTATTTGAACTAAAGACTGATCCTCCAAGAAACTCCAACACTGTTCGTTCTCCAGCCAACTACTTAAATTCTCCTCTTGACTGCTGACATCGTCATCAGGGATGGTATATTTTCCGCTGAGCACAGCTATCCGGGCATCAATTAACGCCTTGTGTGCTATGATATCGGCAAATTCGTGAAGCATGCTCGTCGGAGTTCGACTATTTCTCTCCAACTCGACCCTCCTTCTCCAATTCTGTTTTTGCAATTTGTTTAGAGAATTTAAATACAACTCTGTTAACTCGTTTATACTCCTATTTATTTCGTCGTACAAACAGTCTCCCACCGAATCCTCCCATAGCTCTAGGGCAGCCCTCTCGGCGGCAAAGAAACTGAAGAAGTACGTGTGATCCGCATCAACATTAGTTTGATATACCTGAGCAGCTCTGTGGAGCACGTGGTTTATTTCAGACTGTATTAATTCCGCATTCACGACTTCTCGAGCGACTTTGCTAAATTCGCTGACAGTTTCTTGAGTTAGTGAGCGAATCCGGCACGTTTTATCTGATGCCAAGTTGATGGTATCCGCTGCCAGAGCCTCTGCTAGTTGTGGTAATTTTGTAGTTTTGTAAGCCTCCAAAAGGGAGTCTAATTTTTCTTTTTCACCACACAACAAGCCGAGGGATGGTCCTTTGGTCGCTATAAAGTTTTTACATGAGGCAAACCCTCGCGTGGCCGATATAAGACATTTCGCGAGTATTTTCGACAGATAATCTGCGCTCGTTCTACTGGAAGGCGGTTGTTTTTGATTTGTACCTGTGATTTTGTTTTGTAAAGCTATTATCAAGTAGGCAGTTTCCTTGGTCTCCTTACTGATGAGTCTGTCGCAAACCGCCTCTCCCGTCACGGAAGACTGTAAAGCCTCTTGTATTCTACTTACTAAGATATTTTCGTAGGCTACCTTCTCTGCTAATAACTGCAGCCTGGCGCTAGTATCTAATTTATTGTTTTCTCGGAGCAGTCTTTTCTTCTCGGATAAACCTGTTAGCTTCTCTAACAACAAACACTGCAACTGTTTAACGACCGCATCAGCGGAAGAGTTGATAACTTCGGCTTCTGCGCTGCTAATCAGACAGTCTCTACCGTGTAATATATCTTGAAGTTCGTTAAGGGAATTTTCAAGGGAAGCGAGTCTGTCTATGCTGGGAGATGAAGCTCTCTTACGGCTACTTCTTAAAATACTGACGCTGGACAAACATTCGTTTACTTTAATTTTGGCTGCCGATATTAAATATTCGATATCGACGTTACTTCTACTGCCTTCCCTGGTTTCTTCTTTTAGTTTTGTTAAATCCGTCATACTGCTACTGTTTAGTAAATTTAGCGATTCATTGGAGGCATTTACATTTGTTACTTTGGTTTCCAAAGAGCTCAGCCGTATTAATAATTTCATTGGTTCTGATGATGTGGCGCTGTCCAAACTTTTGCGTCTCAAGCGCCGTAACGATTTGTCGTCTATGGGTGAGCCTCTTTCACTGCTCCTCTCCCTTTTGTATCTTCTCCTATTTCTACTTCTCTCCAAGGCTAAAATTTTCGCCTCCAGTTCCGTCACCTTATCCTCCACCTCTTTGTTTATAGATAAACTTTCACGACCTGCAAAATAAATGTCAGTAATCTTATACCTTTTTAATTGATAAAGTGTGCTTTACCTTTCAATGACACTGATCTCCTTTTCTCTTTGGATTCCGTTTTAGACTTGATTTTCAGTTGCTTTTCTGCTGCTGTTAATTTCGACGTGAGATGATCTAATCTCGCTACTAGTAAATTTATTTCTGCCTGATTTTCTTCTTTCATAATTTTAATGCTGTTATTCAAACTATGATTTGTTAACTCTAATTTATCACAGTCCTCATGTGATTCTCTTAGGGCTCTCTTAACTGCCCTTATTTCCATTATAGCTTTTTCAAAACGACATTTAAGATCCAAGCAATATTCTTTCAGTTCGTTTTGATTTAAATCATCAATATCTAAATCGAGATTAATGTTTGTAAGTTCGGTTAACGTATCCACATTGAATTTGCTGTTTTTAAAGCAATACCGGCCCTCGAGCTCTTGAATTTTCTTATATAATTTATCGTTTTCTTCTTTTTCCAACATTATTTTTTCATTTGAACTTGACAACTCATCCTTCAAATCTATAATAATACGTTGTTTCGTTTGAAGTTCTTTCGAGAGAATATTACATTTCTCCTCAAACGTTCTTGATGATTCCTCAGCCTCCGATAAACGTCTCTGAAGAGCCCGTTGTTCTTTTAAAAACTTAACCTCGATTTGAGAATTTTTTTGGTTTAATTCGATTTCATTTCGTTCAAAATTCGATAGCATTTCCTTAGTCTTTTTCTCACGAATCGCTGCATCAGATTGAAATTTTTTCAATCTGCAAATATAAAAAATAAATAATGTGAATAATGATCGATTTCGTAAAGATTACCTTGCAATCTCTTCTTCTAAGGTTCTAACTGCTTCCTCAGCTTTGGTTAATTTCTTCTGAATTTCTGTGATGTCTTCACCGGTCTTACTCACTGAAGTAAAATCGTTTTCTTTGGCACAATCTAATTCATCGGTTGACGTACTATCTAACGTTGACTGTCTCGACTGGCACCTCGGCAGCCTAGGTCGTAACCTCGCCCTATCTTTCACTCTGTTTATGGATAACCTATTAGGAGGTGGTGATGGTGGTAACTCACTCCAGTCTTCCGATCCCCTACGTCCTATAATAATTAATATACACAGTAAGTAAAAAATTAAGAACTTTACCAATATGCAATTTATTTCCGAAATGTTTATTTTACACAATTTCATTGGGACAACTCGTGCAACATATAACTTGTTTATTGTTATTCTATTGTTCTATTGTTTCTTTGAATAGAACAGTATTTTCTGCATACGACAAAGTATTTTTTATATGTGGTTACATGACAAAATATCTGAGAAAAATAATTTTCTCTAATTTCTGAGCACAATGCAGTTAAGTTAATTAATTATGCAAAACCGCTTTATCAAATAGTGGTCAGTTCTTAATAATTCACATACTTCTGCTTGCAAATTTTTTATTTTATTATACAGGTAGTGTATGTTCCATGGTTCTCTTGTCAATTTTATAAAATAAATGTTTTAGGTTACATTAGATGTGAATTTGTACAAAAAAATCCGTTCATATGAAATCATACGAATTGTTAACGATTTATTCGGACGAATAGAGCTTTGTTGTAAAAGAATAAGTAATGCATAACCGATCCCTTTGTTTAATAAAGCAGTATAATCCTTCACATGTAAATTAATGTATTTGTTTTAGTCTGACATTTCATACAAAAAGATTTTATTAGATTTCACATACAATGTAACTGCCGCCTTAGGGTACAAACATAATAAAACATTGAGGTTTCAAATTCAGACAGAAATCAGCTACACGATTTGCCACCATATGATTAAAGCATAGGTTAGCATTTGCGCGGTTGTAGTGGTATGTGACTTGTCTAACATTGAAACTTTTGACGAGTGTTAATGCTTGTTTAAAAATTTATCTTTGATTTTTTTTTAATTTTCAATTTACCAAACATTCCAAAAAATGTAACTCTAGAATTACTGCTGAAAATTCATAGGATTTTTTTTCCCTAAATATACAATTTGAGATATAAACTAATTAGGACATGAAAAAATCAATGGTAAAGAAATTTGCATTTTGTTGGAGATAGCAAGGCATACACCGTCTTAAAAAATGCTGTCAATATTTAGAAAAAAAAACTTATAAACTTTTTATGTGAAATGAGTAGTTCTAGAGTTATGTTAAGGTTAATGAAATGCTTAGTAACATTATGAAAAGTTGAAAAAAGTGATATATCGAAAATTGTTGTTTTCAAATAAAACAAAAAGATGTGTTTTTTCTTGGAAACACCATAAGGAGTTGGAAGAAGAGGTCAAATTTTCAAAATACCTAGAGACGTTGAATGACAGGGCTTTTAGTGAGAGTGGTTTCCGATGTCTCTGCCACTAGGTACATGTATTTATATGCCAATTCAGTGATAAAATTGATGCAACTTGTGGCAAAAAAAATTTATAAAATTAATAAGACAGTTATGGTAATATGTAATAAAGTTTGGGCTGTATAGGGAAGAACAATTCGACGATAGTCAACTTGACAGAATTGTAATTTAATTCAATTCAAAATAAAAATCAGAAGAAGGTAGCTGTTCTCGAATATTTTCTTATGTAACATATATTCAAAAATTTATATTGCCATATGCAATTTCCTTAAATATGCTCAAGCTTGTTATAAGTACCATATCTTATAAATCATATCACCTTCATTATTAATACATCAATTTTGGCATCTACTTTTCCTCATGCTTGGAAAAATGCTAATGTTCTTCCTTTACCTAAATTATCTAATCCATCTGAACTGGGGTATTTTCGACCGATAAGCATTTTACCTACTATTTCCAAAGTGATTGAATTAGCATTAAAATCACAAATATCGCCATTTGCTCTTGATAATAATATAATTCCCCCTTGTCAGTATGGCTTTAGGCCGCTGCACAGTACAACTACTGCCTTGGCGCATATTATTGACGAAATCCTTAAAGCTACAGACAAGGATCTAGTCACATGTCTCATTCTTTTAGACTACAGCAAGGCGTTTGATACATTGGACCACAATATCTTATGCGATAAACTCATTTATTTTGGCTTTGACATCACCGCTTCCTCCTACATNCAGTCCTCATGTGATTCTCTTAGGGCTCTCTTAACTGCCCTTATTTCCATTATAGCTTTTTCAAAACGACATTTAAGATCCAAGCAATATTCTTTCAGTTCGTTTTGATTTAAATCATCAATATCTAAATCGAGATTAATGTTTGTAAGTTCGGTTAACGTATCCACATTGAATTTGCTGTTTTTAAAGCAATACCGGCCCTCGAGCTCTTGAATTTTCTTATATAATTTATCGTTTTCTTCTTTTTCCAACATTATTTTTTCATTTGAACTTGACAACTCATCCTTCAAATCTATAATAATACGTTGTTTCGTTTGAAGTTCTTTCGAGAGAATATTACATTTCTCCTCAAACGTTCTTGATGATTCCTCAGCCTCCGATAAACGTCTCTGAAGAGCCCGTTGTTCTTTTAAAAACTTAACCTCGATTTGAGAATTTTTTTGGTTTAATTCGATTTCATTTCGTTCAAAATTCGATAGCATTTCCTTAGTCTTTTTCTCACGAATCGCTGCATCAGATTGAAATTTTTTCAATCTGCAAATATAAAAAATAAATAATGTAAATAATGATCGATTTCAGTAAAGATTACCTTGCAATCTCTTCTTCTAAGGTTCTAACTGCTTCCTCAGCTTTGGTTAATTTCTTCTGAATTTCTGTGATGTCTTCACCGGTCTTACTCACTGAAGTAAAATCGTTTTCTTTGGCACAATCTAATTCATCGGTTGACGTACTATCTAACGTTGACTGTCTTGACTGGCACCTTGGCAGCCTAGGTCGTAACCTCGCCCTATCTTTCACTCTGTTTATGGATAACCTATTAGGAGGTGGTGACGGTGGTAACTCACTCCAGTCTTCCGATCCCCTACGTCCTATAATTAATATACACAGTAAGTAAAAAATGTAGAACCTTACTAATATGCAATTTATTTCCGAAATGTTTATTTTACACAATTTCATTTGGACAACTCGTGTATCATATAACTTTTATTGTTTCTTTGAATAGAACAGTATTTTCTGCATACGACAAAGTATTTTTTATATGTGGTTACACGACAAAATATCAGAAATATAATTTCCTCTAATTTCTGAGCACAATGCAGTTAAGTTTATTAATTATGCAAAACTGTTTTATCAAATAGTGGTCACTTCTTAATAATTCACATATTTCCGCTTGCACATTTTTTATTTTATTATACAGGTAGTATATGTTCCATGGTTCTCTTGTCAATTTTATAAAATAAATATTTTATAAGCGGTTACATTAGATGTGAATTTGTACAAAAAAGTCTGTTCATATGAAATCATACAAATTGTTAACAATTTATTCGTATGAATAGAGCTTTGTTGTAAAAAATTAAGTAAAGCAAAATCGATCCCATTGTTTAATAAAGCAGTATAATCCTTCACATGTAAATTAATGTATTTGTTTTAGTCTGACATATCATACAAAAAGATTCTATTAAGATTTCACATACAGCGCCTTAGGGTATAAACATAATACAACATTGAGGCTTCAAATTCAGACAGAAATTAACTACAAGATATGTCACTATATGATTAAAACATATAGGTTAGCATTTGCGCGGTTGTAGTGGTATGTGACTTGTCTAGCATCAAGATTTTTGACGAGTGTTAATACTCTTTTTTTAAAATTAATCATTTTTGATTTTTTTTTAATTTTCAATTTATCAAACATTCCAAAAAATGTAACTCTAGAACTACTGCTTCACAAAAATATTCATAGGATTTTTTTCCCTAAATATGTATACAATTTAAGATATAAACTAATTATGACAATGAAAAAAACAATGGTAAGAAATTTGCATTTTGTTGGAGGTAGCAAGGGATATGCCGTTTAAAAAAATGCTGCCAATACATTTAGAAAAAAAACATAAATTTTTTTGTGAAATGAGTAGTTCTAGAGTTATGTTAAGGTTAATGAAATGCTTAGTAACATTAACAAAAGTTGAAAAAAGTAATATATCGAAAATGGTTTGTTTTCAAATAAAACGAAAGATGTATTTTTTCTTGGAAGTGGTCGAATTTTCAAAATACCCAGTGATGTTAAATGACAGGGCTTTTAGTGAGAGTGGTTTCTGATGTCTCTGCCACTAGGTACATATATTTATATGCCAATTCAGTGATAGAATTGATGCAACTTGTGGCAAAAAATTTAATTTTCTTTATAAAATTAATAAGACAGTTATGGTAATATGTAATAAAGTTTGGGCTGTATAGGGAAGAACAATTCAACGATAGTCAACTTGACAGAATTGTAATTTAATTCAATTCAAAATAAAAATCAGAAGAAGGTAGCTGTTCTCGAATATTTTCTTATGTAACATATATTCAAAAATTTATATTGCCATATGCAATTTCCTTAAATATGCTCAAGCTTGTTATAAGTACCATATCTTATAAATCATATCACCTTCATTATTAATACATCAATTTTGGCATCTACTTTTCCTCATGCTTGGAAAAATGCTAATGTTCTTCCTTTACCTAAATTATCTAATCCATCTGAACTGGGGTATTTTCGACCGATAAGCATTTTACCTACTATTTCCAAAGTGATTGAATTAGCATTAAAATCACAAATATCGCCATTTGCTCTTGATAATAATATAATTCCCCCTTGTCAGTATGGCTTTAGGCCGCTGCACAGTACAACTACTGCCTTGGCGCATATTATTGACGAAATCCTTAAAGCTACAGACAAGGATCTAGTCACATGTCTCATTCTTTTAGACTACAGCAAGGCGTTTGATACATTGGACCACAATATCTTATGCGATAAACTCATTTATTTTGGCTTTGACATCACCGCTTCCTCCTACATTCGTAGTTATCTGACCGGGAGATCACAACAAGTTCTCATGAACTCAATTATGTCCGACACTTTGCCGGTGACTCATGAGGTACCTCAGGGGTCCATATTGGGGCCTCTGTTGTTTTCCTTATATATTGCCGACTTTCATAAATATTTAAACACGTGCAGAGTGCATCATTACGCAGATGATTCACAAGATTATTACAGTTTTCCTGTAGGGGATGCAAACTCTTCAAATAATGTCATTAATAATGATTTAACATTACTACTTAATATCTCAGCCGCTCACAGGTTGCAATTGAATCCAAATAAGTCCAAGGTCTTAGAATTTGCCCCCAAAAAGAAAAGATGCACCGTAAAATCCCAAATCAATGTTAAATTGGGAAACACCGTATTAGACGTTGCTAACGGTTGTAAAAATCTGGGGCTCTTGTTTGATGTAAATACTCTTTGTCGCTCATCTTATAATACGTTAAAGCAACTTTATCCTCATAGGAGTATAATGAGCTCGAAGTTAAAACTTATGTGTTTCTCTAATTTTTTCAAGATTGTCATATTGTGATTGTGTTTATGGGCCAGCCCTACTAAGTACTGATATAATACGATTACAGAGAATTCAGAAGTTGCTTCAGGTTTGCGTACGGTGTCAGAAAATTGGAACGGGGTGTGAGCGACTTAATTCGAAATAACGGTTATCTTAACCTTGTAAATACTCGGAGATTGCATCTATTAAGCCTTACTCACGAGATATTGGTCAGTAGTACTCCTGAATATCTGCACAGCAAATTGCAAAGGCTCCAGAAAGAATCTGCATCATTTAAATCTCGTTATTCGCGCCTCTTAGAAATTCCTCACCACGCCACTGCTTTATACACTAGAAGCTTTATCTATCAGGCTTGCAAGGATTATAATGCTTTACCTGTAGAATTTAAAAATTATTCAATTCTGAATTTCAAGAAAAAATTAAAGCATTATTCTCCCGCATGGGACTCATACCAATTATTGACCACGTTTTCGTCGCTCTTTTTATTATTATATCGCATAATTTAATTTTTTTCTTTTTTCTTTTTTAGCATTTTCTTTAGTTTGTTTTTGCATTTAGCTATTATCTATATTTTGCTTTAATAGTTTCCGTACATTTGTTCTATGATTTCATTTTGTACATTTATTTACTGGAATGATTAGATTAGGATGAGATAACTATATATGTATACGTGTTATTTTCTCTCGGGGGGTTAAGTTGAAAAGCAGTCTCGGCTGACACTTTGCGCCCTTCTTCATATTTACTATTCTTTTTATACGATGCTCAATTAATGTATTGACATATGAGGATTCAATAAAGGCAATTTATTATTATTATTATTATATGCAGAATATTATGTTCTATTCAAAGAAGCAATAAAAATTATACAACTAAAAAATTGAATTGGTTACCATAATAAGAAAATGGAGGATAATAGGAAACTGCCCTCGTGTGGCAAAAAACTAAAAACTTTTGTTAAACTTTTTTTTACAAATAAATAACAATATTTTACATTTTATAATTGCATTGAACAAAAACGTTTTGATAGTATGAAACCTGTTTAAAATAAAAATTTGCCTATTCAACTAACCTCCTTCAGAAGCGGTTCTGTATTCTTCATCGCTAGACGCCAGGACCGATCTGGGAGTTGGAGGAGTGATAGGACTCTCAACAATTATCGGAGCCGCCTTTTTTAATGCTTGCAGCCAGTTAGACCTGATTCCCTGTGTTACAGCACTCAGAGTTAGGGTATTGCCATCCCACTGAATTTCAAATCCATATTTTGAGTCAGTAGGTACTTCGGTATAATTGGTAACAGTCGACAACTCAACAGTTAATTCTGGAGTCCCTTGTTCGTTTTGGTCTTGGTATATCTGAAGAGTGGGACCACATAGAACTATCCATCGTCGAACGAATTCAGAAGAATTGCTTTTCATCCACAACCATCCCTATAGATTATTTACTTTTATAGTCAGTTATTTTTATTAAATACAAATACAAAACATTGATTGCTTAATCTTGATACCTTAAATGAAGTTTCAAAGGAACAATTTACGAAATACAATATACAGGGTGTTAATTAAGTACATCAATACACTTTAAGAGGTTGTTATTTGCATGATTTTAAACCAAAATGGGCCTACAAATCTAGTTTTCGATCTAAAGGATGCTAAAATTAAAAAAAAACTTTTCTAAAATATCTGAAATGTTTGATGAGGAATGATGAAAATTAGTCTAATGATGTATCTAATTAAATAAAAAAATCTACAGAATTACAATATGATATAAATGTCATAGAATAGGACATGTTATTGGATATTTTCAAAATTTATGGTATTTCCAAGAACAAAAATATCTTTAGTTTCATTGATCAGATGAACCATGAACCGAAGTATTACTGTTTTTCAAATTTCTTTAAAATTATCAAGCACTTCATTAAACCTAACATAACTTAGAACTATTGATTGCCCAAAAATAGTTCATATAATTTGTTTCTAAATATACAATATACACAATATACAATATAATTACTATGTAATCACAAAAAGTCTGAGAAAATAATTGGCACATTTTTTTTTCTGAACTATATCCCCTGCTATCTCTAACAAAATATAAAATTTCTATAAATTTCATGAATTTTTTTGAGAAACGAGTTGGTTATAAGTTTGGTAAGTTGTAGTGTTTGGTAAGTTGTAGTGTTTGGTAACCTTATTGAATGTTAAAACAAGGAACATATAAAAAATTATTAATTTTAATTAAAGAATTTTCAAAATATCCAGTGATATTTAATAATTTCTGGCTTTTTCAGTGAAAGCAACTCACAATATCTCCACAACTGGTACATGTATTTATATCTCAATTCAGTGGAATTTTACCTTTAATTAGATAAATCATTAGCCTGCATCAATCATTGTCAGATAGATTTTAGAAAATTAGTTTTTTCTTTAAATTTCAATACCCTGTATCTCGAAAACTAGACTGTTCATGTAACTAACCTTTTTCGTTCAAAATCATTCAAAGAATTGTCACTTAAAATTTGTCGACGTACTTAATACTGTATGTACCTACACTGTACAATACAAAAATTATTTTTATTGTTAATGAGCTAAAGTTAGCCTAAATTAACATAATCTTATTTTTTTCATACTCTCAATTATCCAATTTTCCAAGAAAATAAAATGTCCCCCTAAAAAATCACTAAACTTGGTTGGCAAAATAGACAAAATTTATATATTACTCAAAATTTCTTGTTTGTACACAAAATGTAAAGTTCGATCTCGAATTTCGAAGCTGAAAATTCATATTTTTAATCGAAATTTCAAACATTGAGCTCATGAAATATTTTTCTACTTATGTCCCTTACTATAACGAATCAGTGGCGGCTCGCCAGGTGACGTAGGTAACGCACCGCTTCACCTAAAATTTCCGTTTGGTTGTGCAATTTAAATTTATTTTTAATTTTATATAAATTTTATAATTTAGGTATAATTCTATATTGAAAATGTATTGTATTTAATTGTTTAATACGCAGAAATAAATATAATAGTTGCGCGATGAACGCTTTCAAAAAAAACATTGCCTTCGTTGAGCGCGAACATCAACCTCGTACCATACAATGTATAGTATACGCAAGTGACGCAGATCGAAATCAGTCAGTATTCCGCTTCTCTTAGAAGCTTTGTTTACGGCGGTTGTCATGGCAACGAGGCGGCCAACACGGGAGTAAACTACGGCGTGGGGAACGAGGGACGCGGAAATTGAAGCAATATTGTCATCGCCCATCGCACGATTATAATGGCTATTTGTTAATATTTGTTTTGTATAATAATTGTAGAAATGTTTAGTATGTATGAACTAGTATGTATTTGATTGGAAATGACATTTTGCAGATGGAAAATTGAGGACAAATAGGATTTTTTAAATTGCGAAAAAACTGTGCCTTATTCTCTCAATATGGAAAAAAGGAAAAGTCAAAAGACAATTTGTACGTTTCGAAATTTCGGAATGAATGGTACTCGGAGTATAAGTGGTTGGGTGGAATTGTTTATTTAAAAAAACTTTTTAGTATGCCGTGTTTAATTGTGGGTGTAAAGTCGAGCGTGTGGAATAAGGAGAAATTTAACAATTTTGAGAATGTCACGCGAGGCCGTAGCCCGTCGTAACCACAAAGCTTCTTTGGAACATACATGTACGGTGTGCGTTAATGTCCGCAGAAGTCCACGAGTCGAACTAATATTTCAATTTTTTATAAAATCTAAATGAAAATCCTTCTCATGAACGTCAGTTTTTCAATAATATTGCAAATGCAACTAAAAATTTGAAAATTTTTGCCTGCGGCGCTTTTTTTTTAGTCAATCAATTAATTTGCTTCACCTATTCTCAATGTCACAAGCCGCCACTGCAACGAATATACCTATCTTTATATCACTATGATTAATTTACACAAGAAAGTGTTCTATCCAACTTTCTAAAAACATACAGGATGTTTCATTGAAAAGACAAATAAATATAAGTTTATTTTGACACTTGCAATGTTCATTTGTTTTATCCGCCACAAAATTCTGATTCAATAATATATAAATAATTTTGTGAAATTAAATAAATATACAAGTGATTTTCTCTACTTTTTAGTAATTGATAAAGTCAGTAATAGTTCTATTATCTCACAGCTATTTTAAATAGACAATCTTTTGGGCTTCACCAAAAATTATTATTATTCCTTATTCCAAACAAATTACAAATGTCTTTTACCTGAATCACCTGGTCCTGGTACTGAATATGCAAGGGTGACCAGTTTTAGGAAAATAAAAGACGTACCTTCTTGAGATTGAGCAGACCTTCTGCAGGTAAAGCCAGGCTAGATTCGGGGGACCTGTCTGTTAGGGCGGTGGCGATGTCGCGCAGCCTTTCGTTCCTCCAGTCTCGTCGAGCCCTAACCTTGTCGTCGCATCGCAATTTGTCTCGAGTAGGAGGTGATCCGGAGCTTACTATACAATCTGAAAGTGAAATTAGTTGGAAATAAATCAGTCATCATAGAAGACTTTGAATATAGTAAAAATGACGTAAAACTATGAAACGTATTCGAGTAGTAGAAAATAGGAGTATTTAATATTTAAGATTAAATAAGTACCAAGAATTATTATTTTTATTGTCGACGACGACGAACTGAAATAAAAAGTTATATTTTGCTATCAAATCACGTAGGTAGGTAAGAACACGTAAGTAATGGATGGACTGGTATTCGTATTCATGTACGTAAACCTAGACTTTCATTGTATTATGTATTTAATTCTTGTCAGTTATATGCTGCCTTATATTTTCTCCCAGGTTATATCGATTAAAGAGAACTTCATTAATGGGTGCGACTGGTTTCCTAAACTTTAAAATGTACTTGGCGAACAAATAACGCTGGCGAACAAATTCCAGTTGATATTTTCTCATTCGAAGCTTAATTTAAGACGAAAACGTGACTTCATTAATATGAATAATAATAACACATAAAATTTACTAAATTCGGCATCAAACAAAGTTCTGACATATTGAAAATAAACATAGTTATTATGAATAAAATAAAACACCTCTTCACTGGTATATAATTGAATTTATTTATGTATATATAAACCATAACTGACAACTTGATAAAATAAACTGAAAATTATTAATACTATTGACTATGTGTAACGAATCGGTAGAGCAACGCAAGAGTAGAATCTAGGGGGGCATAAACTTTCAAAGTGTAACAAATTTTCGGTCCCGACCGCTGTTGGGCGCATAGTTGTTCCGATCGGAGTGAATTTGATGTTGTTGTGTGGACCTTTCTACGTCGGGTATTCCACGAATACAGTGGTGGCAACGGGGAGGAAAATGGTGAACCTCTACATTTAACTATTTTAATAAGACGAAGTTTCAGTACATTATAAACCCCCGGGGTTTACACAGACGAGCCGGCGAAGCAAGAAGAGCGCCAGAAGAAAGGGCCCTAGCCGGCGGGGCCCAGCCAGGACAAAAGGAGGTCCCACAAAGCGCCTACACCGGCCGCATTTGCGGTCGGGGTAGACGACGGATGGGGCCCACCTACGAAGGCTGTCCAGGCCTACACGAGATGAGGCAGGATAAAGAGGGATAATCCCCCTCGATCTCAAATCATTGAGGCCAATTTCTAGCCATGGAATAATGGCGCGAGTACATTATAACCTAACTTAGCGTGAAAACTATGTTTTTTGAAGTTTTTCAAAAGTAAAAAAGCAAAATCTGTAACAATGGCTTCAGTGAATCAAATCCACCGGACGGTGCTTGTCGTTCGCGGCTGACACACACTACCCCGCAAATGCGAGCCGGCAAAGAAAGAAGAGCACCAGAAGAACGAGCGCTAACCGGCGGAGCCTAGCCAGGAAAGAAGGCCTCACAAACTGCCAATATACAGGGTCGGAAAGTCCCCATGGTTCATCCGCTGTTACGTGAGAGCGACAAAGTAAGTCATAGAAATCCGTGCGATAGAGAAAGATGGCTATAATGAAGGCGTCTAATAGTCACCGCCCATTTCGCCCTTCCACAAATAAGCAGTGGATCTTATTTGTGGAGCGGCGAAATGGGCGGTGACTATTAGACGGCTTCATTATAGCCATCTTTCTCTATCGCACGGATTTCTATGACTTTCTTTATCACTCTCACGTAACGGCCGATGAACCATGGGGACTTTCCGACCCTGTAGACGGTGCTCCATTTCCTCTATGAGGATCCAGGTATACAAAAATGGCGGTGTGTAAAAAGCGACAGATCATTTTTCCTGGCAAGGAAATTGGAGCGAGCACAGCACGAGTCGATATCCAGACACTGAAGCAGTGTTTTACTTTACATTCAATAACGACTTCTCATTTCTCTATCCATTTACCAAAGAGTGCCAATAAATTAAGTAAATGCTATAAGGAATTCGTTAACGTCAGGCCTATAAAGAATTCGTTATCAAAAAGTATAATCGAGGAAACTCGTATTGCGAGCGGCTGGAAACTTCAAAAGGGGTAAGAAACATGGCAACTTACAGCGACGTCGAGGCACGAAGCGCCAAACCCTAATCTCCAGGTTATGAGATGCGGACAACATCCACAAATTTTGACGCAGTACTAGTTATTCTGTACTCACCAAGTTGTCCTAATATGTATCTACCGTTATTTATGAAACACCCCGTATATTATTGTTCAGGAAAAAAGCATTTCAATAATATTGAATTAAAGAATGTTATTATATTCAGTCATAATGTCATTAATTTTAACCACGTACTCGGAAGGCCTAATAGACAGAAGACGGAAAAAAACATTTTTCTCGACTTTTTAAAAGATGAGCAAAGTACTCCTTAACTCCCGCTAATTCGGCGCCCTCACATTTTCGAACTATGAAGCGAAACAGTGTTGCCACATCAGAACCACATAAATAATAATATAATATTCAAATTTACCACCGTTAACCGCATTTTCCGCATTGTTTTCCGGCAAGTATGCAGAATGCAATACAATCCGCAGTTTATTCCGGATTGTTTTGCTTGTCAGTCGTAATGGCTAATTTTGCGAATTTTGAATATGCGGAAATGGTGGTTTTATATGGAGAGCGTCTTCGCGATATCGGATCTTTGATACCGCGACGAGAACTTGGCTGAAGTGAACGAGAAAAAACACTAGTTTCTAAAGTAGTCCATACAACCGTTTATCTTATATATAAAATTCTCGTGTCACAATGTTCGTTCCCGTACTCCTCCGAAACGGCTTGACCGATTCTCATGAAATTTTGTGAGCATATTGAGTAGGTCTGAGAATCGGCCAACATCTATTTTTCATACCCCTAAATGTTAAGGGTGGTCCACCCCAAAATTTTTTTTTTTTTTTTT